CCGTACAAGACAATGTATTCTTTCGATTTTCACGTAAATAGAAAAATCAACATTACTTTACACTCATAGTTATAGGAAAGATCAATGTTTAGACTTCGCGATCAGTAAATCATTACTTAGTGTTAGACAGCTTACAGTTGAATTTTAAAGGAGCTAAGTCGCCAATATTTGGGACCTAGAACTTGACACAAATGGGTCGCAACTCATACAATAATGTAATATGAATGTATATAAATTGATTTACATTCAATCGTCTCTGTTTTTACGGTAATTTCTAATCAGTTACGTTCGGCGAAATATGCCAGTATTCTCAATCGAATTTCAATCTCTAGCGTCTGGTTTTTCCAGTCTACGCCGATAGTATTTATTGGGCATGCTCTCCAGATAAGAATATAGCGTCACCGTTTGACATGACTTGTTGAATATGCCTAGCCTCGTTTTTCGAGTCCCTTATTACAAATAGCGCTGAAACGCATTATGGTACACGATTCGTGTACCAATTGTAAAATGTTTATTTTGTCTTAAATATTTTCCCGGTAAGATCACAACATCAAATGTTGATTTAAACCGACAAGAAAATCGTGTTTTCAATGTCGAAGATTTTAAATGATATTGAGTTAGAGACTTAGCTACTTTAAGTAAATAGTTTTGCAACGACCAAGTACATAGGACAATTCAAAGCTTGTTGGTGTCAGATTGAGAATTTATCTTCATCCGGGTTCCGTCATTTGGTGGGAATAATCTGACAAGCCATAAACAATAACATATCCTACCAGAATTTAGAGTCCAGCTAATACAGCTTCTGTCACCAAAACTTTGATATCCCTCTAATAGCCAGTGACAGTGTACTATTGTCACACTCATTCGTTCATAATTGTAAACACTTAGTTGGTCAGAGTTTTTAAGAATTTTATTCAAACTTGCGGGGATTGTTGGATTAGTCATAAAGAATAACCCTGTCAAGATCGAGAATCACACATTATTTTTATGTGGAATGATCGCCACTATCACCCTGTAAACGCTGTATACAGTCCAGAGGCACTGAGATCTATTTTATTTTAAAGTTTATTCCTGATTGTGTTCAAATTTGAGTGAAGTCTGTATCACTACAGCCCCTAGACGCTTACGGCTAGCCCCCGGATCCATTCACTTAATTTGAATTGTTCGTCTGTTTGGGATTTCTGCGTGTTATGTCTTGTGTCTTTGTTTTTGTGTATATTATGTATGGTGCAGTCCTCCTGCACTTACTATTGGAATATTCCAGGCTATACGTTATTCATCTGATCTAGGCAGAACACTATTGAAATTTAGAGTCGTTTGATCATAAAAACACTATATATTTGCACATTTTTATAAGTGTTAAGTCGTCTAATTATTAGTATTACGTCCATACATACAGAGAGGAACAACCAAATTAAGACATCGTTGTTTACACAACGCCTTTGTACGAATCAACCCGCATCCAATTATTTGCTCTAAATTTAAGGGAAGATTAATATAATAAACTTGTTATTAAGCAACCCGTGTGTTTATTTATTCAGACAATTGGTAGAGTTAGATGAGGTAAGATAATTAACCTAATCAAGTCATGTTTAATATACAAATGCTAAAATAGTCATCATGGTCATTACTGATTTCGCCATTATTTGGAGAATGTGGAATGGAATCTCCAGTTATTTTAAGACATATTCTGTGTCTGTTTGTTTGAACTATACATTCGGTGCAATGCGTCCATCTTAAATTCTGGGGTCAGCAAGGATAAATTCCTGCGAGGCATCATTATTACCTTTTTTTCCAAGTTCTAATTTGATCAGTTTTCTAGTTGCCATAATAAATAAAACAGGAATATCAGCAGAAAATTAACTACTTAGAACATTTGCCGTTAATTTCAAACATAACAACAAAAATGGATCACTATAACATTTGGATGATTTGAATGGAAACTGACACGCGAACAAAATGATCAACTGAAGTGTTTAATAGACAGATTTAAATGATTATTTTCTTCTATTATAATTATTAATGATAGTCAGTTTATTAGATCCTAAATACATAAAAATCGTTTGGAAATTATATTGAAACTACCCGGAAAAATACATTTAGTGCTAACAAATATTCTGGATTATGGGGTCTTATAATGCAATTTGAGTCTATAGTTATTTTTTGGACACAAAAAAACAGTCGAATAGAGTATAAAGAACCAGAAGACTTATTATAGGCATACACTGGCTATACTGCAGATTATTTGTCATCAATAATCAAATTTCGAACCCGTTTCGCGACCACAATTCAATGGGCTAACAATTTTGCGGTGGTTTCTTTTCTTCAATTTTCTTTCGTGGAAATGCATTACTGCTTATTGTTTACATAACGGTAAATATGTTTACATGAATTAAAGTCCGGTGCCGTATAAATCGTCTTATGGACACAGCTCACCAATGTAGGGCGAAAGTTATTTTTATTTTCTCTCCCTTTCCCTTTTCCCCCCATTTGCATGGCGATTTTTGTTGACTTTTTCGCGTAGAATCGAAGAAAAGGGTTTGAAGAGGCGGAAGAATACAAGTGTTGAGCGGTTGGTTAGGTTAAAATGTAGGGCCAAAAATTGCATATTTACTTCTCTCTACTTCCAACTTGTGTATCTCAAGTTTTTTATGAAGACCCTCATACGTGCTTCTGGGTAAGAGGTTGCCACATGTTGCTTCATTTGTGGTAGAAAGATTTCTACCCAACAAATTTGGGAAAAAGTTAGAGCCGGTCTAAGAGATGAGAATTACCATTAAAGTCAATGGGGAATTCATTAGTGATCTGTGGCCTTATGGTTTTCAAAAATCTTTCCTGTTATGCCTAGCGTAGACCGAGTTAGCGACAGGGTACAGCCAGCAATTTGTAAGCGACTGAAAGCAAATGGCGGCAACCAGTAGCTGGCTGGAAACGGGTTGGTCTACAGGTAGCTCACGTTTTTCTTTTCGGGATAAAGTTGTGTCCAGTTTCTCCGGACTGCGGGGTCGCAACCGATTAAACACAATAACTTTCTGATAGTGGCCTGAACAAAATGTCGGAATCGCATGAAATTGGCACTTAACGTCTGTATACCAGCTTTCATTCAAATTGGTCAATAACTTTAGAATCCAAGCTGTACAGAAGATTCTGGAACAGAAAGTCTTTTTAATTAGTTTTCCCATAGTTGCTGTCGATGTGCCTACCCACTCGAAAGGGTGGACACAGCTGACTGCCGTCAGAAGCTTCCATCGGATATGATCGTATTTGTTCAATTGAAAGACCGGTCTACCCTTGGCTCTACAGTTTCTTAAAATAATCTTAAGGCTTTGTAAAATAGAATTGAAACTAATGCAATTTGTTCGTCGCCTTCTCAATATACAATTATTGTTTCAACAAGGTTCTTGTAATGGATTTTGCCACCTGCTTATACATTATTGTTTTCATAACAGGTGATAAAATATAAACGTATTGCCATTCAGGACCCGTGTGGGTCTTATGAAATAGCTTATACGAGGATATACAATTATACCTGGATTTTATAAAACTGATAAAACCAATTATGCTAATAACAATGGCGTATTATGTATTTTATAAGATACCTGTGTTAAACGGGATTACTACAAAATCGACTAATAACAGAAATTAATTATATCGATGTTATACATATATTTTAATGCGGATTTGATGAAATCATAATGAAAATAACAAGGGCATTAGGTTTTAAAGAATATTGTTACAAATATAATCATTCAAATATTAAAAAAGGATACAAAAGCTATTGCGATTGGTTATTAGTTAAACTCAACAAAATGGCATAATACCGTACATAATAAAAAGTGTATTATTAAAAGACATTATAATAAAGCTAATTACTTCCTACTCCCGACGATTTAACAACTATAGACCAACAGCAGTATATTAATATATCATATTTAACAATACTTGTTATGTTAGACAACTCTAAATAGAAATCCGGATTAGAATTTATTACCTGAATACAAAACCTCAATGAGAGAATTACAGGTGTTCGGTACACTCGAGGAATTGAACTACGGTTTAAAATTAATCAATCATCCCTCAATGTGGATTAAACACAGTTGTCCTCGCCTATTCAGTTGCACGTTTAGACCGGGAGCCCAGGGGGCCAACCTAGCTGAAAAATGTACCAATTTTTTCCTATATGTTATCAATGCATGTATATCTGGTATCATCAGAATGTAAGTCTGCCGAGTTTCCGGTAGTGGGCGTGGTATTCCACGCCCAAAATGACATGCACCCCAACTAGGCTAGATTAGCTCAAAAGTGTACCACATGAAAATCGTACAGCAGTGTACCGTACATCTTCAGGTGTTACAAAAACACTCTAACAGACATACCACGCCCACCACCGGAAACTCGGCAGACTTACATTCTGATGATACCAGATATATATGCATTGATACCATATAGGAGAAAATTGGTACACTTTTCAGCTAGGTTAACCCCCTGGACTCCCGCTCTATTTTGTTACAATCATGATCTTTCTTATTTTCTTGGGTGGTCGAATGGTTAACGCATGCGCGTTGCATTATAAGGTCTGTAATTGAGTCAAGCCGCGTGGTTTCGATTCCACGTCTGTACGTGATAAGGAGTAGGGTCGCCTTCCAGCCTCGTGGTTTTTCTCCTTGATTTTCTCTGGGTTCCCCTGCTAAAGACCCATACGCACGAGCGAATAACTGACATAAAATTGAATCGTATGTTAGTTCCGAAATTACCCAACTTATAATTACGTCTGTCAGTCATCTCTATTTCAAAATGTTTAGATGTATGTCGATTATTGCTGAAGGGTTCAGAACAGGGTTGATTACACAGATCATCAACACAGACTGTTTACTTTTCCCAATATACTGACAATTTGTCCAGGCTCAACAAGAAAGGACCTTTACCTACTCTTTAACACCTGCAATATGATGCTGTAAACAGATGTATGATCAGAAATCAACCAAATACTATAACCAATATATATAACAGTTATCTTTATTGGACTATTAATGTTCAATTAAATATATCCATCGATTAAAGCAATTATACAAATGAATTGGATATTCATATGATTTTCGAAGACGTACCAAAAGTATCTGTCGCTCTAACGATGTTATTTCTTAGTATCCAATTACCAAGTAAGTCACGGGGGTAAGTTGGGTAAGGCGCTGGCTCGCTAGCCTAGAGGTCGGGTGTTCGATCCATGCATTGGCCGAGAAAGGTCATTCCGATGCAGGACGTAGGGCCTGATAACGACAGCTGTCTAGTCGTTCGGATGGGACAAAAACCGAGGTCCCGTGTACACATTGTCGTGTATGTAAAAAATCTCTTGACAGGAGCATAACAGTAGGACGTTAAACCCATTTCATTTCCCCAAGTAATCTTAGATAACGTTTCTTTTTCAGCAAGAGTATTTCTTATTATCCGCGTAGGTAAAGATAATACAATTGGAAATATTACAGAAACGTTATCTATAAAAGATCGACACCAATTTTATGCACAGTTTGTCTCATCTGATCATGTATATACATTCTAAAATTTGGTCTTCTATGTTACCTATCTATGAAGGATTGATACATTTGACACCAATATGCATACATGCTGAGAAAGTTTCAATATCTTCGGATACGTTTTTGGAATATAAACTTGAAAGTTATGTCACGAACATAACAAGTCCCAAAGCAAATCTATAAGTCCATTTTGCGGGTACGATTAACCCGAGACAAGGGCAAGTTATTACAGAATACATGTACATGTATTCACATTCATGTTTACAGTCAATTTATAACAGTCAATGTGTTGCTGAAATTCAGCTCTAGAAATTTTGGAAGTTTGTTAATTTCCGAAAAAGCAATTTAATCATATATTTTTATGTTTTATTGTATCAAGATATAATAAATCTAGAAACTAAGCCTCATTGACGTTGCTGTATAAAACCAAGAGAAATCTTCCATGGGCTGGTTTTAGAGAGCAGAAATCAGATTTCCATGGAATTTTCCATAATGATTGATATCTCACAAGCCTCCCTTGGCAACTACTTGCAGTAACTATGGAATCTTGCCTTCTGTCCGTAATGCAAAATCAACCAACAACATAATTCCAGTAAATTCCACCACTGCGCAAACGTTACAGCCCTGACATTGGTATAATATAGTTGGAACTTAAAACGAAAATTAAGCGAAACAAAATATTAATAATAAACCTAAGGAGTGTACCATTTAAACATAAACACTTTGATAAACATTTGGTCTTTGTAATGGACTTGTGAATGTTTGTAGTCTACGTGCAATATCTCCTAATACAAGGTTGGTTGTTTGTTTGTTTACAAGTATGACATATAATTCTGGCAATTATGGATCTAGCAATTCCCAATCTTCCTGAAATAAAACAAAACATCATAATATTGTCAATCTTCATAAATTTTTTTTATAAAAGTTCTCCCTTTAAGAAAAACATTATTTGCATATATGTTTTGGGTCTTTAATATACCAGAATATATACAACTAAATAATACTGAACTATTTCTATATTAATATTGTCACAACTAGATATGTTTAGCCTTTTAGATTTAGGCCAAAATAAAGCATTGGATTGAGTAGATTTGGTGTGTTTCATTTAGTAATTTGGCAATTCTATAATGAATTTGTTACGAGGTCGGCCCTCTTCGCGCTAGTTTTCGACTGCGAAAGGTCGATCTAATGCAAATGAACGACTTATTTTTCCTCGCGTCTACCATGATCATGCATGCCCAATTTTTAGTCACTTAGACTACCTATAGATGAAATATATTCAATAAAGCAAATCAGCGTAAAAAAATCCAATGAAACCGAAAGAGATCTGACCATTTTAAGTTCGATAAAGTTTAAAGAAAACAAGAATTCAAACAACAAATCGACAAAGTTAAAATTGAATTAAAAAAAAACGACATTTTGTTAAGTAACAAAAACATATACTTACTAAGTTGACGCTTTAAATCAGCTAAATTTGCTGCTTCTATTGTCAGTAATAGTAAACACACTATTAATAGGGTTATTTTAATTCTTTGATTCATACTGTAAAATCGTACACAACTTCTACTCAGTAGCCAGTAATCTATTATATCAGAACATATCATCAACCCTTTATATATCCCGAAGTGTTACTTATTTCTTAGAAATTTTGAATCAAGTCCGCAGGAACTACTACAAATACTTGATGAGTCATTTAGTTGTATTTAATGTATTCAAAAGTGGCAGGTTAAATAGATTGTCTCTCACTTGTCCGCTTGTATATTAACATCGGATGTTCATGAGTAATACATGATGTGGCAATTGTAAGAGATAAACTGTTAATTTTAGTAAATAAACAAAATTGTTGGGAAATAGTGAGACAAAGGGGCGGAGAGCGTGTATATTAAAGAGATGTACAATGCATAACTGTGTAAAGCAATAATGTTTGGTTTTCTGAGCAATAAATCCATTTTTCCCGGCATTTGGGTATACCATGGTCGTGTAATTAGAATCTCGAATAGTTATGTAAGAAATGTATTTATAAGTATTAAATAAAATACAACTACCACTGGATGTTTTTTTTCTTTCCACACCCACTCTCTCCCTCTCGCACCCAAAAAGAAATAAACAATTCCAAGCTAATGAAAATCCCCTTTCTTATAACTCTTACGAGTAAAAAAGAGAGGCAAAATTTTATTTTACGAATTCATACTTTTGAAAGAAGTGGACCAAAATAATTTACAAACATCTGCATAATTCAATAGTTTTACACAATATATTCTGGCGGAACTATAAAGAGTATTTACTATAAATTAATCAAATGAATATATCTTGAAACAAGATTTGATGTATATAATGAGGCCATAGCTGCAAATTTAGAAACACAGAAAGTCGTTTGTTGTTGTTTGGAGCCCACCCAATTCAGCTTTAGAAATTTATTTGATGCATCAGCTTTAAACAAGAATTGTCGTTGAATCATTCTCTCAAACAGTATCTCAGTCTGCACGACATATCTTTCCGACAACTCTTACATAAAATTTGGGAAAGAATAGAACCAGTTAGACCTTGGATACCTGAAACAAAATGAATTCTTATTTAATCGATATTTTTCAATGTTTGATTAAAGAAATAAGAATCACGTGACGCAATGCTTTAAAACTTTCTAAAGCATATTCAGGAAATTGCCTGAAAGGGATTGGGGAACAGTCAGAGTTTATGTACACCCTGCCCTAAATTCTGCATTTTTTTTAAAATTCTAATTTCCAAAATAAAATACATTAAGTAATTAACTCTTTTATAATGTAAACGTCGAGCCTAATTTTATAATTACACACATTTTACAAAACCGTATCATTCCAATGTAAACCGTTAAGATTAAAGAGAGAGAGGGAGAGGGAGAGAGAAAGAGAGACAGAAATGGGGTTTAACGTCCACTCTACACAAACTAAGTCATTTCGGGACTAACACAGGGTTCAATTTTAGTTCAATAATTCGCAATGTATTTAGCAATGTGAGGAAACCTGAGGACCCGGCGAAAACCCACGACGTTGGACAGGCGACCCTACTCCTTGTCACGTACAACCGGGAATTCCAAACCACGCCAGTTGACTCAGTGACAAACCTTATGATACAACGCGCACGTGCTAACTATTCGGCCATCTACCCCCCCCCCCCTGATTTAAGACGTTAAATAATCAATTGATGAACATAAATAACATTGAAGTACTTAATCAAATACGTTAAACCAAACTTAGTTGCCCGGTACTAAGCGTGTGGATGTCTTATGTAGCTTGGATTTGCCAGATAATAAAGAAATTTCCAGAAGCTAATGGGTCAGTTTAGAAAAGTATGGTATCTTTTTGAGTGTTTCTAACATCCATAATATAATCACTAATTCCAGCATTAAATACTGCACCAAGTACAAAATAACTAGCCCCTTGTATAATTATTTGAAAATAAACAACTAGATATTATGAAGTAATTTTAAAGTTCAACCGTTGTGTTTTGTATATTCTCGAGCTATGAATTGGCGAAGCGTCGAGTAAAGTTTAAGAAATTTGGCACACATTATACCCATACTTACTGACATCTGCAGAAATTATATTGATTAGAAATAAACATAATATCACCAGTATTATAAATTTACAACGTAGATCCATTGTGACTATTTGAAACGAAATATCAAAGTTCCCGGTGCACAATCTTGCAATATCAGAAACTAAAAGAGAATATTTAAACTTTATCGCCTTTATAGTCCTAGTTGTCTCTTATTTTACTCATAAGTCTTATTATATATTTTCCTGGGCATGTCACATGGGTGATATTTTTATAAACTAAAGTCGGGAAAACTCAAGACAGACCTTATAAGGCGTGATTTAACAAAATCTAAGTTGTGTATAGGAAAGATTGTATTCTATTTCAAAATCCATTCGATAGATCCTGTTCAATTATAAGATTATCATACAGTTAAACGGACATGCGTGCTTGGGTGATCTTGCCTGTTTCTTAAAATTGATGTTTTTTTGACAACTAGTTCAATTTGAGGATTCCTTAAAAATGGTATAGCTCATATTATACCCTATAAAGATTTTCAAAGAGCTTAACATTACATTTATGTTTTTACTTAAAGTAGCTAAGTCTCTAACTCAATATCACCAAAAATCTTCGACATTGAAAACACGATTTATTTGTCGCTTTAAATCAACATTGACTTTGTGAACTTACCGGGAAAAGATAACCTTCTGATATCCAATATTTAAGACAAAATAAACATTTTACAATTGGTACACGAATCGTTTACCATAATGCGTTTCAGCGCTGTTTGTAATAAGGGACTCGAAAAACGAGGCTAGGCATATTCAACAAGTCATGTCAAACGGTGACGCTATAGTCTTATCTGGAGAGCATGCCCAATAAATACTATCGGCGTAGACTGGAAAAACCAGACGCTAGAGATTGAAATTCGATTGAGAATACTGGCGTATTTCGCCGAACCTAACAGATTAGAAATTACAGTAAAAACAGGAACAATTGAATATGTAAATCAATTTATATACATTCATATGTATGCGTTGCAACCCATTTGTGTCAATTTCTAGGTCCCAAATATTAGCGACTTAGCACTTAGCTCCTTTAAAATTCATACCGGCTCTTTAATTTCTTAATATAGAATATGTATTATTGTTGCTATAATTAAGCTGTCGTTAGATATACTAAGATGCTAATGGGTATAAGAAATCTCTCGCCAGAGTGATTTATGTACCTTTGTCAAGTTTCTCGAATACAACATCACCTGCCTTCACATTTCTTAAACATGTCTATATTAATTCCCACCCAACGAGTTTGTCATGATGTGTTGACACAGTAGACACGTACCCGGATCCTCGTAGCTCAGTGAGTAAGAGGTTGGCTGGCTAACCCGTTTTTTGACCCCAGTGTGGGCCGAGAAAGTTCATCTGGAGTAGGGGGATCACGTGGCTAAGTGGGTAAGACGCTGGCTCGCTAGCCTGGAGGTCGACTGTTCGATCCCTGCATTTGCCGAGAAAGTTCATCCAGATTTTCCGGCGTGGTTTCCCCTTGTCAGTGATGCAGGACGGAGGGCCTGACAAGGACAGCTGTCTAGTCGTTCGGATGGGACGAAAAACCGAGGTCCCGTGTACAAATTGGCGTGCACGTAAAGGATCCCTTGGCAGTTGAAATTCGATATAAGAGTAGGCCGTAGTGCCACTGCCTGGGCAAAATTTCCCTCATAGCACACTGTATGGCGTATCATTAGCCCAGTTTATGAGCAAAACAGTAGGACGTTAAACCCCATCTCATTTCATTTCATTTCATCTGGAGTAGGAGAAGAAAAATTGCTCTGCGTCAGCAGGGGAGGATACTAGTGTGTCATCACTAGTCACCAATCCCATCAAAATTAAAAATTTCCAGTGTTTTGGTCGGGACAAACAAGGGTTCCCGGTGTTTTGATGATGAAAGTAGAAAATCGTGACAAAGAAAGATTGTTATATTTCTAATAATAATTAATCCCTGGAAATTTGAAATTGAAAGTCATGGTTCGAAACAATTTCAACCAAATCATATCTCAAATACTCATCAAGATGCATTAGACTTTAAAACTATATTTACCAAATAAGTAAACGAAGATCACCGAACGCTTAGGCTAACAGATAAAACATTAAACTGTACTAATACGAATTAATAATGCATGTATTTTAAATATACCCCACAAACATTAAAATGCAAGTCAGAGTATTTCTTTAAAAATATATTCATATTTGAAATTGTTGCAATTTGTTTCGCTAATGTAAACAAACATCCGAATCCGAGTCGCGTGCTGTCTTACTATAATTCCTACTGAACAATCATTTTATACTAAGGTATAAAATACCATTATAAAAGTTTTCAGAATTATGGGGATAACACCTGATCAGGTTTAAGTCCACCGACAGTCTTTGAATTGGGCCAGTGTTTTGAGCAGTAGGACAAACAACCTACTCGAATTCTAACTCTCAATGTGTACACGGGATCTCTGTTTTGCGTCCCGTCCGAACTGCTATACCTTCTCCCTTACCAGGCCAGCACCGGGAACAAACACCAGACCTCCAGGTTAGCGAGCCAATTTTTTACTCGCGGAGCCATTACGGCTCCCTGGTGCAATTAGAAATATAATACAATTTTGTAATGACTAAAAATAACCTAAGACGCTGTGAATCAACCTCGCGAATTCCGGCCTTTTATTTTAGCATATGACGAATCACTTTTTGTTCGCCCACACGTATAATCTCTTTCACATTAATATGCTTGACGTATACAGAGCCGAATTAAGCTCGGAAATGTCACTGGGACTCTTGCATCTACAGTGAAATAAGGGCATAATATTCTGGTCATTGTCTGTCACACTCACACAAATGCAATTTGTAGGTCAGTATGGTAGATATATAGATAGATATAATTCGCACAAGCATATACAACATAATAAATGACATATTAATATATGGTTCGATTTTTAAAAAAAAAATAATTATGGGGTCCTCTGGCTGCAGCCCAGTCAGCCCCACCCCCTTTAATCCGAGCCTGCTAAAATGGCCGAATTGTCTGTCACGTTACAAGTGGGAAGTTAAACCCCTTTTGATTTTATGTCATTGGACAACGAATCAATCGCCATGTAGCAAATTAAACAATCTGATTAAAATACAGATCTATATTTCGTTTCGGTTTTTTTTATACTTTCGATGGCCTA